TTAGCATGCTCAAGCTACTATTTCTTTGTCAATAATAACATATTTTATCCATCTCTCACATCACTGAACAGAAGCAGTGTTTATGTTGGGAAACTACTTTATTTACATTGGGGAGCTAATTCTGGTTTGCTAGTAGATCTCTTCAGGTATTTTCCTGAGCACATGATTGCTGAAAGTATGTAAAGGGATTAGAGATATATGCCGTCTTCAAAGTCATTGTGCATGCCTGCTCCCCAATGCCAGATTTAGACTTGGTGAGGCCCTAAACTATATAAAGCTTGGAGGCCCCTTGTTAAAAAGTTACACCAGAAGGTGTCACAAAGGTATGTACTAAAACAGGACCTTGGGTCACCACAAAAAAATTGAAAACATATATGCCTTTTAATTATTTAATAGCAAAGTGAAAAGTACAAATTATTTTCAAATGGATGCATTTACTGATTACATATTTATCATTTGGCTGGTTTGATCTCTCTCATAGACTATAATATAGTATACCCTGGAAACAATACTTAAAGGTAATTTTTAAAATAATTTTAAGATACATTAATATATACACAAATATATCAGGATCACTTTTATTAATATAAGTAATAATGAACTCATTTGCCAAATCAGAAAACGGATTTTTCAGAACATTTTGTGAGGCCCTGCGGATTATGAGGCCCTAAGCTGTATGCCTAATGCCAGCACTGCTGCTCCAACTCACACCATGACCTATCCACATTTAGCAGAGAAATCTAAAGAAGCATGACAAACCAAGATTCACAATGGCTCAGCAAACTACTCACACATTCAAGTGAACTGAGGCAGCAGAACCTGGCACATCAAGACTGCACTGTGGGAATGGAGCTCTTATAGAAGTTGATGGACTTCTCATTGGTGAACTGGAGCCAGAACCAATCCCAGGGCTTATTATTCCAAGCTCTGACACATGAATATAAGCCGCTAAAGAATTAAGTAAGATCTCAAGCAGATTCTACCTTAGGCACCCACCTCATACTGATAACCTTCACATCAACATATCCAGGGATATTTTCATATATGTTTTTCATCTACATTAGAGAAAATAAAACAAAAGCATAAGCAAGGCAAAAACCATCTAAGGAAAGAACATTTCCTAAGAAGCAAACTACACCTGGCATTTAGTATAAAGCACATAGCTATATTTCCTCTAACATTTCCAGCTGCACAAAGTAGAGAGTTTGAGTGTGTCTGGGAAAGATAAGCTTTCTTGCAAAATATTAAGCCTTTACATTTTGATTAATGAAAAGCAGCGCATACAATAGTTTACATTTAATTGGTTTATCAGTGACAGTGACCAAGACAAGTGCATATACCTGGATCGAGTGATTCTTACCTGCTGCTTAAACTGAACTTCGATTTCCTTGTAATATGGTGAACCTGGGTCTTCCAATGTTTTATTATATACCTTGTTATCAACCTTCACCTGGGCTTCGACTGTAATAGGCACAGATACTAAAAAAGAGGAAAAGATGAGCTAGAAGAAATTTCTCACATAAGCTGGAAGAAATTACTGGGATTCTGAAGGCAGGCACTGAATGTGTTGACCCTCCCCAACATCATTTCTAAACAGATTTTTTAAAAAAATTTAAACATCAATGCCTAAATCCAAAGATCCACTGTGTTGCCTGAAGGTTATTTTT